CGGCTCACCGCAACCTCCGTCTCCTGGGTTCAGGCAATTCTCCTGCCTCAGCCTCCTGAGTAGCTGGGATTACAGGCACGCACCACCATGCCCAGCTAATTTTTTGTATTTTTAGTAGAGACGGGGTTTCACCATGTTGACCAGGATGGTCTCGATCTCTTGACCTTGTGATCCACCCGCCTCAGCCTCCCAAAGTGCTGGGATTACAGGCTTGAGCCACCGCGCCCGGCCTGACCATTTATTATAGTACATACATCTGAGGTACTTTCTTGTGTTACATTAGAAATCTGTAGTAATTGTCAACTATTATTTAGCGCTTTTCTTTTGCCTTTTATGACAGTTTTATAAAAACCTGCTATAAGTGCTTTACAAATATTAATTTATAATCTTCACCCCTAAGCTTCATGATGACTCCACAAAATAAGTACCTTTAATATTTGCATTCTGCAGAGGAGGAAACTGAGGCACAGAGAGGCTAAGTAATTTGTCTAAAGGTATTCATTTTGTAAGTGTCACAGCCTGGATTCGGTATATAGTTAATATCCTTGTAAGTCTGCTATTGAAATAAAAAAGAAACCGTTGTCAGGAGTAGTTGCCTCTTCTTAAAGAGAGAAATGGAAGTGCGGTGGACAGCCTCAAGCCCTTGGAGCCCTAGTGATCCCATCCCCTTCCCCCACCCCTTCTGATTGTACTTTGATCTTAGACAAGTTTCAAAAGTTTCCAGTGCTTCAGTTCCCTCTTGTAAAATGAAGAGAGACACCTGTACTTAGCAGAGTTGTAGAGAAAAGGACCTGGAGGTAATTCAGACAGCAGGTAATTCAGAAAGCAGAGCTCTTATTTTATCAGAAAAACTGCCTGATAATATCAAAACGCAGGATGCTGGGAGGCATATAATCAAGTTCCACAAACTATTCTTTCCCCAAGCGTCCACGTGGGTGTGATGATTCTGCCTGTGGGTAACTTGTGATTCTACAGGAAGGGCCCCTTCAGTGAATTGGAATGGTCCACTGCATTATTCTGTAAAGTGAAATTGTACATTCCTTTCACTTTTCTGGTTCCGACATACAATTTGGAAAACATCTAAATTATAACTTTTTGCAAGAAACCTGTAGCTTATCCAATTTGACGTCCACATGGTGTAGTGTATGGATGAGAGTTTCTCAATCCTCTTCATGAGACTTAGCAGACACCACTGTTCACTTATAAACATTTGGACTCTACTTCTATATATTATTTTTAAGATTACAAACAAAACTTTGTTAGGTCACTGTTTGGTAAAAAGTTTGTCCTTGTGCCCCCAAGGACAATAAAAAGTTCTTTCTAGGCCAAGAATGCCTGCGGAGATATGGGGAGAACAGAGGAGATGAGAGATTTGTTAGATCCCAGGCACTCTGCATTAACCCCAAACTTTTGGACTTAGACTGTGCCAAAAATATGCTTGCAGAATAAGGTAACATTAAAGACTTTTGGGACAAGCAATACAAAAATAATTGACCAAGATTACAACCAGTAAACTTCATGCCCAAGACCCGGGAAGCCCCAGGTCCCCTGTGCGCCCCACCCCATGCTTGCATGGGACGCCTGATCCAATGCCTGCACAAAACAAAGGCCGCCGCTTCCCGGTACCGCACTGCGGGGCCTCCGCAGCTGCACCCCCAAACTCCCGTGGTGACTTCGTTTGCAGGAGAGTGGGTTCTGAAAGCTCTGGGATGAACCGCTGTGTCTTTTTGTCGTTCCTCCTTTAGGACCCCGGCTGCAGCGAGGAGGAAGGAGCCAGCCTAGCACTTCTGCGCCTGTAGCCGCGGTGGTGTCCTGGAGGCCTCACAGTGGGACAAGTGGGGGACCTGAAGGCCGGTGCGCCACCTCCAGGCCTGGACGAGCCCTCCGTCTTCTGCCCTGCAAAGGCGCTCCAGACCTCCAGGCACTGGATGAATTCAGCTGCGCCTGCGTCGCCTTCCGGAACCACCAAAAATTCAAATCAGGATTTTCCGGAGTCAACAGGAGCCTAGAGTCTTTTGCTCAATGTCGGATTTAATTCGTATATATTTTTAAGCGATTTGGTTTTTTCCCCTTGACTTTTGATCTTCGAGACAGCGCCTTTCACGGACATTATTGTTGCCGTCGTTTTCTCTCCCTGCGTGGCTCCTTGACCTGCGAAGGAGAGGCAGGACCCCGAAGCCGGGAGCTCGCCGGGGCGATGTACCAGAGCCTGGCCATGGCCGCCAACCACGGGCCGCCCCCCCGGGGCCTACGAGGCGGGCGGCCCCGGCGCCTTCATGCACAGCGCGGGCGCCGCGTCCTCGCCCGTCTACGTGCCCACGCCGCGGGTGCCGTCCTCCGTGCTGGGCCTGTCCTACCTCCAGGGTGGAGGCGCGGGCGCAGGGTCGGGCGGCGCCACGGGCGGCGGCTCGGGGGCGGCCCCGTCGGGTGCAGGGCCGGGGACCCAGCAGAGCAGCCCCGGCTGGAGCCAGGCCGGAGCCGATGGAGCCGCCTACACCCCGCCGCCGGTGTCGCCGCGCTTCTCCTTCCCGGGGACCACCGGGTCCCTGGCTGCTGCCGCCGCCGCTGCCGCGGCCCGGGAAGCTGCGGCCTACAGCAGTGGCGGTGCCGCGGCGGGCGCGGGCCTGGCGGGCCGCGAGCAGTATGGGCGCGCAGGCTTCGCGGGCTCCTACTCCAGCCCCTACCCAGCCTACATGGCCGACGTGGGCGCGTCCTGGGCCGCTGCAGCCGCCGCCTCCGCCGGCCCCTTCGACAGCCCTGTCTTGCACAGCCTGCCCGGCCGGGCCAACCCCGCCGCCCGACACCCCAATCTTGGTGAGTAGGGGCACGAGGGCGCGTGGGTGGGTCTTGAGCCCTGTTGGGGACCCTTCGTTTTTCATGAATGCCTGGGTTGAGCTGGGGAAGGTCCTTGAAGACCTGAAGTTTCCAGAGCAGGCAGAAGCCAGTGCGGGGCTGGCGACATTGCAGCCCCTGGAGACTGGCTTCTGTGCAGGGGGCTGGGCCTGCCCGTCCGGGCCTCTTCTGAGACCGTGGCGGGGTCCGAGTGCGGCCTCCCGGCAGCCCCGGACGTCGGCCGTGGCCACGCCGCACTGTGGGTGACCGCGGGAGGCCAGCGGGCTCCCTGGAGAGCCGGGGGCAGTGGCCCGGGATCCCTGCCTGGACGGCGCTGGAGATCGCTGGGTTTCTGCCCCCATTTCCTCCCCGCCTGCTCTCGGGCCTCCGCGGGGAACTGATGACAGTGGTTTGGACCTCAGACCTTCTGGGCCATTTGGCGGCCCAGTTGGAGGATCCCTCAGAGTGGCAGATGATTTTCCTGTCGGGGGTCTCACACCGAGAACAAAGGAGGGTTGGAGCAAAGGAGACGCCGGGGAGATGCGCCGAACAGGAGCCGGCACCGTGCGGGTGTCCCCTGCCGGACGCGTGGGCGCATCGTGCGGGCGGCAGGGGCAGACCCCCGTCAATGCCCAAGAACACAGAGGCCAAAGGGGCTTGTTTATGACGCCCGAGCTAAACGGAGACTGCAGTCGCTTGAACGCGTGGAGCCTCCTCTTCTCGCGCGGGCCAGGGTTCCAAATAACCGTTGTGGTAGGTTCCATGCCGCGTTTGCCTCCGCCATCCGACAGGGAGGGACGGCAAACAGGTCTCAGCCTCCACTGATTTACAGATAAACGCAGCGGGATCTGAGAAGGGGCCTGGGCGCAGGGGCTGGGGGAGAAAGGGAAGTGGCCACACCTAGTTCAAAATGCAAACGGCCTCTGGAATGTCGGGAAGGGACGGAGGAGTGGGTTTGGATTGAGCCCACCCTGTGGGGGAGGGGAAGCCCGGATTTGAAAAGCAGAGCTGGAGTTTATTGATCACATACTAAGTGCTAAATCCTTCTGCATTTGTTCTCACTTTGAAGAGTAAAGGCTGCCCTGGCCAGGTTTCCAGTATTGGGCTGGCTCCGAGAAGGGCCCTGGCTTTGAAGCGCTTTTAAATTATCCTCTGGCCCTGGGTGGCCAGGGAAGGTCCCCAGGGGTACAGCCAAATACACATCGCTGGCAAACTGATTAACCCTGGAAGTGGCGCCGAGAGGCCCGATCTGTGGCTCTTGGCGTTCCCCTCCCCCTCACCCCTCTTGGGGGAGCCAGACGGCCACCCCCAGGGGAGGAGGGCCGGGCGAGCCTCTCTGCGACCTTTGCTCGATAGCAGCGGCATCTCCACACAATGGCGCCCAAAGGCAGAAGTGCAGGGCAGGGGGTGGGGCCCGCCCTGGCCTTGCACGCTGACGGAGGAGTCCTCTCTCTCCAGGGCCCTCTGGGGCCTCTGACTTAAAATAGGGAGGACTGGGTCAGGAGATCGAGACTATCCTGGCCAACATGGTGACATCCCGTCTCTACTAAAATACGAAAAAGAAAGAAAATTAGCCTGGCATGGTGGCGCGCGCCTGTAGTCCCAGGCACTCGGGATGCTTAGGAAGGAGAACCACTTGAACCCAGGAGGCCTAGGTTGCAGTGAACCGAGATTGCACCACTGTACCCCAGCCTGGATAACAGAGCCAGACTCCGTCTCAAAAAAGAAAAAAGGAAAAAGTGAAAGAAGGAAATGAAGGAAGGAAAGGAGAGAAGGAAGGAAGGGAAGGAAAGAAGGAGGGAGGCAGGGAAGGAAGGAGGGAGGGAGGGAGGGAAGGAAGGAAGGAAGAAAGGAAGGAAGCAGGGAGGGAGGTAGGGAGGGAAGGAAGGAAGGAGGGAAGGAAGGAAGGAAGATCATGTGACTACACGCAGTATTCAGATTTTAAAATGTCAGCCATGCCATGTAGAGGTGATTGAAATAAGGGAGTTCCTAAATTCCCGTGTCAGCAAATGGCAGCTGACCTCTCTGAGCATCTACCTGCCAGAACTGCCACCTGTCTTCTCTGGGCTCTTCCCTGATGCCTCATAAAGTCCACAGCCTTTGGGGTCGGGCCTAGAGGGTGGATTTTCTCTTCTGCACACAGCCAAGTGTTTTGGGAGAGCTGCGGCCTGTCTCAAAGAGGCAACACAGGTCATGTTGAACTTGCTGGCTTTCATGTCTTCGAGGTGTTCTGCAGGTGGCACTTAAATAAAAGCAACTGAAGTTAAAAGCAACACATATGGCCAGGCACAGAGGCTCATACCTGTAATTCCAGCACTTTGGGAAGCTGAGGCAAGAGGATCATTTGAGACCAGGAGTTCAAGGCCAGCGTGAGCAAAATAGTGAGACCCTGTCTTTGCAAAACATATTTAAACATTAGCCAGCCGGGCAAGGTGGCTCACACCTGTGATCCCAGTACTTTGGAAGGCCTAGGCTGGCGGATCACCTAAGGTCGGGAGTTCAAGACCAACATGGCTCTCTCTACTAAAAAAAAAAGAAAAAAAAATTAGCCAGGCCTGGTGTTGCATGCCTGTAGTCCCAGCTTTAGAAGCTGAGATAGGAGGATCACATGAGCCCAAGGCCACTGTACTCCAACCTGGGTGACACAGTGAGACCCTGTCTCAAAAAAAAAAAAAAAAAAAGGCAGTGCATGTGACTGTGCTTTTTATATATTCTTCCCATCACTTGGGCCCTCCTACTTGCCTGGCAACTTTAGTGAGGACCAGCACCAGATCCTAGCTGGCCTGGTAATGGAGGGAAGATGACAACTGACTCCAGCTTTCCAAGCAGTTCCCATGGGGTCCTAAGATGGCCAGACAGTGTGGTGGGAGGAGCACAGGGGTTTAAACTCAGGCAAACCTAGAGTCAGTTTCAGGAGCCTCGTGTCATCTTGGGCAAGTTACTCCTCTCAGTCTCATGTCTTTTTCTGTAGGGATCATCATAGCTATTTTTAGTGATACCTTAAATTAGAAAAATAAGGTAAGACTTGTGAAGAATTTGGCTTTGGCCCTTTGTAAATGATGGTTATTTTTTTGACTAGCGAATCGCTGTCATGTAGAGTTACCTATGTTGGTGGTGTGCCCAGGACTGAGGGTTTTCACAGGACTTGGATCGTTAGTGCTAAACCTGGGACAGTCCCCAATGACACAGATGGTTGGGCACTCAATGTGAAACTGGGCGTGACTCATTGTTGTGGGCTGATAATGAGCTAAAAGCAAGGAGAAGCAGCAAAGGTGGTTCTTTTCTCTGTCCGGGAGACTCTGGAAGTTATCACCTAAGTGCTATCATCTGCCTTTGGTCTTGAAGGGTGAGTAGGAGTTTGTCAGGGAAAGAACCGGCAATTTCTTTTAAGAAAGAAATATTGAAGGCCGGCCACGGTGGCTCACGCCTATAATCCCAGCACTTTGGGAGGCCGAGGCGGGTGGATCACGAGGTCAAGAGATCGAGACCATCCTGGTCAACATGGTGAAACCCCGTCTCTACTAAAAATACAAAAATTAGTTGGGCATGGTGGCGCATGCCTGTAGTCCCAGCTACTCAGGAGGCTGAGGCAGAATTGCTTCAACCCAGGAGGCGGAGGTTGCGGTGAGCCGAGATCACACCATTGCACTCCAGCATGGGTAACAAGAGCGAAACTCTGTCTCAAAAAACGAAAAAAAAGAAAAAGAAAGAAATATTGACCATTTTATAGGGGAAAAAAAAGAAATAAGAGGCCAGGCACAGTGGCTCACAGCTGTAATTCCACACTTAGAGGCTGAGGTGGGAGGATTGCTTGAGCTCCAGAGTTCAAGACCAGCCTGGACAACATAGTGAGTCACCATCTCAAAAAAAAAAAAAAAAAAATTAGCTGGGCATGGTAACACATGCCTGTAACTCCAGCAACTGGGGAGGCTGAGGTGGGAGGTTGAGTCAGGGAGGTTGAGTCAGGGAGGCTGAGTCAGGGAGGTTGAGTCAGGGAGGTTGAGTCAGGGAGGCTGAGGCTGCAGTGAGCTGTGATTGCACCACTGTACTCCTACCTGGAGAACAGAGTGAAGACCCTGTCTCCGAAAAAGAAAAAGAAAGAATATACCCTTGTTTTCTAATATGTTTTCTAATATTTCATGGAGTACCCATGAAATAATACAGTGCAGCCTGACCTTTATTTAAATAATTATTTGTCACTATAGGTAAAAACTATACACACTAATTCACCCTTAACTCAGAAACTGTTTTTAATTTCAATGAGGAGAAATAAGAGAACACTTTTATTTTTCTATGTAGCTGCTGTAGTTTTAACCATATCTTGCCATAGTTCTTAAGTTGGTTATTTGAATAGGGCAAAAATCAAAATAATAAAAGTTAACACCGGCCTCTGTAAAGCCCTGAACTTAGGTTGGAAGTAGTAAGTGTGGCCTGACTGCAATGTATGTGAACTTTAATTCACTCCAAGTTCCATATGAGCTACGACCCTAAAACAACTGTGAAAATCACTAGTTAGGCTGCTTGAATGGAATTATGTGACCTTACTGGGGGCAGGTACAGAGTCTTACTCATTTAAGTGCCTGGCAAATGTGGGGCACTTAGCAAATATTTGCATAGGGATCTTGGTGGTAATTGCCCCAGGACTCTGCCCTGCCTGGGTCCAACCACACAGAATGGCTGTGTTGAGTCCCTTAAGAAGCAAACTCAAGAGCCCTAGGGCAGGGTGGGCAGGATGGAAGAGGGTTCTTGAAACTCACTGGAAGAAAGCAGGGCTTTTAGGCTGGAGAAGTCACTGGGTGGATAAAAGCAAGATGGAGTATGACTTTCCAAATTTCTAAAACACGCACACACACAAAAGCCCATGGCCTTTTAACTGTGTCTTATTACTCAAGGTGAGCAGACATTAGATGCGAGAAGAACACTCGTAGGTGATTGTAGTTGTGTGGAAATGTAATATGGAGTATGGCTTGTCTTCATCATAA